ACTCACCTCAGCCTCCCAAAGGCGCGGGATTACAGGCTGAGCCACCAAGCCCAGCTTAATTTTTTTTTGTCAGAGGGAATTTATGAACCCTTATCAACTATCTATAATACTTTTTATAAAAGGCCAGGGTTTTCATAATTAACTGATGCTGTCTTATTTTTCCATTTATCATTATGTAATTAGAATCTTTCAAAAAAGTAGGAACTTTATAATATTTGTTATACTAATGCATCATTATTTAATTAACCATATGTACTGTTGGCGATAATAAATTGGTGTTCATTTTTTACTATTATAAAAATTCTAAGCAACAGCTCTGTACTTAAATTTTGTTCTATGTATCTGACTTTTTCCGGGACTGGAATTTTCTGCTTGAATGCTCAAAGATGTGGGGTACAGTTCAGGGTTAGGTATACAAACGTTGATTAGGCAGGTACCCTATTTTTTGAATTTCACCATTCTATACTTCTCCTTGTTTCCTTGTAAATGTGTTCTAGGTTAAGATGGAGCTACATATTTAAAAATATAATAAATTTATTATCATTAAAATGGTTATTTTTAATTACATTGCCCATACCCCATCTCTACTCAGTATTTTTAATATACCTTAACTAAAATAATGTTTTAAAATTACACAAGAGAAGACTCTTATTTAATAAGTTCACTTTTTCCACTGCAAAATTTTAATATAGTTTTAAGTTAGTACCAAAGAAAATAAAAAATAAGAATGTTTTAGGATGGAGGAAAAAAGTATAGAGAAAGACATCTGAAGTGCCAAACTTTTGACTTTGTTGTTTAATGAAAACAGTCCAAATCCTTTCGGTTAAATAATCCATGTTCTAAACTATAATCACAACCATCAAGGTTACGTAACCTCAGCTCACTGCCTTCTTTTGGTTCAGGCTGAATTTCTCAATGGAGATGGTTAGTGAAAATTTGACATCTACCTGTCAAATGATGGCTTCTCTCCACAGTCAAAGGCATCCTGGAGCTCCTTAACGAGATTAGCCTGGCCAGGCAGTCGAAAGAGACCCTCCTCTTTCAGCCCCCTCTGCCGGATGAAGTCCACGCACTGCTCCACCAACATCGGAGCCAGACGGTTCCCGTATCTCTTCTCATAACGGACAGTGTCTTCCAGTTTCTGTCCAAAAATGCCTAGAAAAATAAAGGGTTGTGGTGAATTTGAGAAATTTCTCTCTTCACACTTTGCTGTTTTCTTTAAAACTCAATATAACAGAACAACAAAGATTGGAATGTGAGCAAGCACTTAATATTTGATATTTCACATTATTAGAAAATCATATTTGTTATACACAATATTACAAATGAAAAGGCTCTGCTTTATGTTGTCCTTTTGCCTATATTCTATGGTTAGCCCAAAATCAAAATAGAAATATTAAGGTTGAGATACCCACTTTGAAATAAGACACACTGTAATACATGTAACTTGCGTTTGGGCTTTTATTTATTTAGTATTCTTCTGGGAAAGGAATTTAACCAAAATCTTAAAAGTAGAAATAGTCTATAGTCAACAATCAAATTCCACCTTTGTTGCAATGTTATTTTTATGTCCAATCTGCATTTAGTTTACATTCTGTTCATTTCCCTTTCCTCCTTTTGCTTTCAATCAAGTTGTGATGCCATGACTATAATCAACATGATAAAACCAGGAAGACAAACCCCGACTTTTCTTCCGTATAAAATATTTCAGATAGCATCTGCTCTTTTAAACCCTTAAACTATTAACTTATTAAGAGAAAAAATAAAATTACAAAGCAGTACTTACTGGGTCATGGCTGTTTGCCCTGGCAGGTAGGGTATTTTACCATATACATTGTGTAGAATTGCTGGCATGTGGTAGCAATAAAAGGCAGGCTTACTTTTAGTTAGCTTTATTCATGATTTTAAAATACCAGCAAACCAGGCATTCCTTGGTGTATGCATCTGGGTCTGAAAACTCTCACTATTCCATCCTTGGTACCTCACTGATTAAGAGACAACACTTCTGAAATACATTAATATAATAGGTGGTAGGTGGGCAAAAATGACCAACGTAAGACAAAGAAGGGGAAAATAGTCAAAGAAAATGTGACTTCTATGTTCCCAGATGGAATGAATATCACTAACTGGTTTAATGGCCTAATGAGTTCCATAAAGGGGGAAGAAAAATAATTATTGCATGTTGGAAATCCAGAAGACTCCAGAATGTTCAGGGAATTATTTAACAGTCATTAGACTAAGAATTCGATAATAACAACAGATGGTTTGCCTCTCCACCTGTAAAAGGATTTATTTATGGATTCAGTAGTGCAAAACCATCACATTCCAAGCAACGAAGACTTGCTACCAAAGAGAATATTCTATTAGGTAGAAACAGTAACAACAACAAATAAAACTATTTTGGTATTAAACCTAGTGCTAACAAAATTCATATATTCCTTTTAGAAAATAAGCGTGAGTGACCTAATACCAATATTCAAGTACATAAAAAGCAAAATTATAAAATGGCATTTTCTAAAAGCAGTAAAGGTTAGAGCAGGCAGCAGGTCTACTTAGCTTACTTTGAAGACTTGAGAAACAAGCAGTTCCTTGATAATGGTGTACCAAACATTATTCACCAACTCAACACACACTTGGACTCCTGTTTTCCACTGACATCTCCACTTTAGAAGCTGGAATTTTAAATACTTCTCCCACTTGTCTTGCAGTGGGGTGGTCATATGGCATAGTCCTAGCCAAGAAGTCTTCTGGAGCCTTTAGAAAGACTTGTTTTCTTATTTTTTAGAGACAGGGTCTTACTCTCTTGCCCAGGCTGGAGTGCAGTGACACAATTCCAGCTCACCATAGCCTCAAACTCCTGGGCTCAAGCAATCGTCCAACCTCAACCTCCCAAATAGCTGGGACTACAGGCACACACCGCCACACCCAGTTAATGTGTGTGTGTGTGTGTGCATGTACATGTGTGCATGTGTGTATGTGTGTGTTTGCAGAGACAAGGCTTCACTTTGTTGCCTAGGATAGTTTTGAATTTCTGACCTCAAGCAATCCTCTTACCTTGGCCTCCCAAGTCACTGGAATTAACAGACATGAGCCACTGCAATTGTCAATCATTCCTTTTTCCTGTCTTGAACTTGGATATGAAACCAACCCTGGTAACAGTCTTCTTTTGACTATTAGGCAACATTCACAAGGAAAAGGCTGAAAGATTAACCAAGACACTGGGGCTGAAATCACCGAACCACTGACCCAATGCCAGCAGCACTTTTGTCCAAATAGCTTTTAATGTGAGAAAAATAAGCCACTGTGTGTTTAAGCCACTGCTAGTTGAACTTTCTGTTACTTGCAGCAAAACAAAAGTCTGACCCACTCAGAGGTGATGATAATTTTGGAGATACTCTAGTGTTTTAATCATGAGGTGTGCAAATTGGTTGTGAATGGAGCACATTGACTCTTTTGTTCTGTGGTTATCTGAACCACAGGTACAGTGCTTATTTGCCTGTAATGTTTGAATTCTCTTCTGTAAGAATTAAGTAAATAGCTTTTCAAAGGCACTTATAGATAGATCATTTAAAAATGACATTTTGACATTTAGAAACAAATCTTTTGTATCTGTGATTTCTTACTGTGAGTTTTCACTTTGGATTGATAAACACACTGTATAAGTGTTCTTCCCCAATCCAGATCCAGCAGAAAGTCTAAAGAGGTTTCAATTCAGTTTCTATGAGTGCCACAAATATGAACTCAACTTCAAAGATTTGATTTTGTACACTCATGAAAAGCAGCCAAACATTCTTTTCTTAAAACTCTCGGGATTTCTTTTTTGTCAACTCAAGGAGATGATACAGGGAGGGATGGGTTTTGCTTTAGATGTGTACTTTGGTTTCTTTTTTACTTTCTTGCCCATGCACATTTGCCTTTAGGATAAGAATTTACTTAGGAAAAATATAGCAAAAACCTCAAATTAATTAAGTACATACTAAGTCCCTGACATATATTATTTCATCTTCATAAGAATGATCTAAGGTAGCTCTTTTTCTTCCTAATTATACATGAGGAAATTGGGGTTCAGAGAGGAAAAAATTCTTCATCCAAGGTCAGTTACACCAGACCAAGTGGCAGAATGGAAGTCCACATCCAGATTTATTCTGCCTTAAAACCTTTGCTCATTCCTTTTCATTTTATTTAATCACAATTATACGTATTCATTTCTAGTTATCTAAAATATCAGTAAATCCTAAAACCGAGTAAATCAGGAACCATTTTGTGCTTTTAAAAGGGATAACAACTGGGCTGTCTTACATATGCCAGGCATGCTACAGGAAGTTGACTAGCACTTCTCTCATTTGAAACTCTCTGCACCTTCTGAGCATCCTTGGAGGTGGGCACCACCACTCTGTTCATTTTACAGACGAGGAGCTTGAAGCACAGAATGGTCAAATAACTTGCCAGATGTCACACAGGTAGCAAATGGTGGAACTAAGACTTGTTCAAGGCTGTGGGATTTCAGAGTCATTCTGTACCTATGACACAGCACTATAGTGGGCACAATGACTAGAAACAACTACGGAGAAGGAAACCCACCACATCCTAGCTACAGAGGTCGCTAGAGAAAAAGGACACCTGCAACCTGCATGTTCACTGCAGGACAATTCACAATTGTAAAGATGCAGAATCAACCTAAATACCTATCAACTGATCAGTGGATAATGAAAATGTAGCATATATACACCATGGAATACTATTCAGCCATCAAAAAGAATAAAATAATGTCTTTTGCAGCAACTTGGAAAGAATTGGAGAACATTGTCCTAAGTGAGCTAATGTAGGAACAGAAAATCAAACACCGCATGTTCTTACTAATAAGTGAGAGCTAAACTAAGCTTCTGCAAAGAGATAGAGAATGGTATGATGAACACTGGAAACTTGGGCAGGGGAAAGGGGTGGAGGAATAACAACAACAAAAAAACACCTAACAGGTACAGTGTGTACAGGTGGGGGTGGTGAGTACTCTTAAAGCCCAGACCAAAATCTATTTAATCCTCCAAAACTATCGAAACAAAAAAGCAATACCTTTAAAAAAATTATTATTATCACACAAGGAGGGTTAACTTATCCTGGGAAAATGTAAATTGAAGAGAAAGTTTAAAAAAAAAAGGCAGAAAGAAAATACTCTGGTGCTTCAGTGAGCATGCTGCCCCCAAAACAATTCCCTTTAGGTAAAGTTGATGCTTGTTCAGCAATATAATATATAAGAAATTTAAAGCATGTAAACAATGTGTATACGTGATTAGAAAATCCTATGGAAAAAACGAATTTTCTTCTGTAGAACTGGTCTTGCCAAGAAGAAGTAAAGAATTTTAATAGATGTATAATCCCTCATTTTGTAGTACCAGGAAGAGAGGGTGCCAAGTGCCGGTGGCTTATCATTTGGTAGGTGTGGGTTACTCCTCCTGCCTAAGAATGCTCTATGTGAGGAAAGTTAGTGGTGGGGACAATTTTTTTTTAAACTGCTTTATTTAAATTTTTCCTTGAAGGAGGAGTGAGATTTCAAATTTTAAAATTACCAAAAAAGCACAAAGGTCATGTGCTACCCCCAACAGGCAGCATGAAGAAAGGACATATTATCCGCAGATTATTAACAGGAATATTTCCTGTGACGTGTGGGTCATTCAAACAGTCCCAGCTATGCCCATTTAAATTCCCAGTGAGGTTTCACACTCCCTGACAAAACCGTTTCTGGAGTTTCCCGGGGACAATCACATGTCATGCTTACTTCTCCTCAAAATGCATTTATGGTGTCATAAAGCATCACCCAGGATGTGACTTTTCATTTGACTGAGAAAGTCAATCACACAGTTGGATTTTTCTATAAGGGCAGGGGCTGTTTCAACTAAGTGAGGGAGAAAGACAACTCTGCATTCTTCAGAGTTTGTGAGGATCCTCCTTTGCATGTGATTTAAGCACCCAAGAGTCAGAGGCTGCCTGTGAAGTTAGTAAAGGTGTCAGATAAATATATCCACGTTCCGTCTTTCTAAAAGTGAATAAATACATACTAAGTTAAATCTTCTGGGACTCTGTGTCCTGTAACTACTTATCCTCACTGCTCCTCGATTCTCAGTTATGTATATGAGTGCACCCAAAAAATCCCAGAATTT